GGATCCAGGCAATGCTGGGTCAGGTTGGGCCAGCTCATCAGCGCTGTGGCTGGGACATGAGTGGAACTGTTAGCAAAGAAGAAAGAACAGTTTCTGCCAAGAGTGGTGCTGGCACAAAAGAAGGAGGCAAAGACTGTTCCAGCACTGTAGCAGGACAGAAACGGGATGTGGGTTTTTAATGATTACGAGTGTGTTCTCAATCAACCTCCTGAATAGTATGAGCTAAAAGAAAAACAGACTCTTACTGGAGCACAGCCATAACCTGTCCAGCTCACAATCTCTGGCCATACACTGCATCTGTAAGTGCCTACATGCAGGATGACTGCCACTGCCATCAGTTGTGAAAGTTATACAAGTGTCCTCCTCAGAAGCCTACACAAAAGTTTTCCTCTCCATATAGCTCTGTCCCAACACACAGAAGGCACCATAACTTTTCTGTATCACAGGTTACAAAAAGCTGTCTGAGATCTAAGTTTCTTGAGTTTATTATCTGCACATTCTTTCAGATTCCCCCTAAAAACACTCTTCTTGCTTTGCAAACTCTTACCATCCCCCAGATCCCTTCCTTCCAGTGCTGGCACTCACCATGATTACAGTCTAGCATTGGATCAGCTCTGGGGTTGCACACAGCAGATGCACCACACCTACCCATGGTAGGGCTCCTCCAGGACCCCAACCCTTCTACCCTAAGTCATTAGCTCCAATGAAGAACTCCAATCCTTCTACCCTAAGCCATTAGCTTAATTAACTACATATATCAACACATTTGCTTTCCAATACACATTTGCTTTCCAATATATAGTATTTATTTACTGTGCTTTGTTTTGTATTGCTCAAAGGTCAAGCTATGCACAGTGGCAGAAGACCTATGAATCCCTCTCAGATATGGTAGTGCCTCGCTCCACCAAGTAAGTGAAGTTCCAAATTAAACTCCCTGTTCGTTTCAGAGATCCCTGCTATATTTCAGCCAAATGGCTGGATCCTGGAAGGAATCACTTGTCTAATGCATAGGCTTCACATTAACATATTTTCAGTTGAAATCAGAAATTACTCTATTGAAGGGAAGTGCAGATAAAAAAAAAATTAATTTTTATTACAATTAGCTTGTTGTTCCTTTTTCAAGAAACCTAGTTCTTTCTACTTTCAACCAGTGCCTTTGCTTTTTTGTGTAAAACAGACAATATGCAACAATAATCAAGGCATAATTCAAACATATGCAATCACATAGAACTATATGGAAACTAATTCGTAAGAAGATCAAACAATAAATTTGCATTTAAATTGCTTCCTGCTGTACAATAGAATAATTCAGCATACTATCACTTGCATTAGCAAATGCCATATTAACTTATCCTTGCACCTTAAATATTCCACTGCTCAGCTTACACAGACCCTGAGGTTCAGTCCAGAGCACAAGAGCTGACTATTTAGCTATTACCTGAACTGGAAGAAGTGGAAGCAAGCTGTTTGCTACTGCCTGTCTCAAAAACATAAGTGAATGGAAAGCTGGGGGGACGTTACCAGGAAACATAGACAAATCAGGCAGGCGGAATGTGTGTACTCCAGGGGGTTCAGGAGTTTCACATTGGAGATAGCTTAGCCAGTGCTAGTAAAGTCTTTGTTCTCTGTTAGTCACAACAGTTCTCAAAAAGCAGGGTGTTTTTCAGTATCATAAATGAAAATAAAGAGAACTGCAAAAGAGGAAGGTGAGGAAGGTAAAAAAGGCATGAGGGGATTGCAATGACAAATCACAGCATTGGATTTCCCTCCCACAGAATGATTGCTGAGGATGCGGAGGGAGGACTCTTCACCGTGACCCTATTTAGAAAAGTGATGGATGACTTCAAGGCTAAAGCCAGGGAGAATAGGTAAGAAACAATGCTAGTCAGGGCAGGCTAGTAAGGAATAATGAGGACAAAGTGAAGCTTATTCTGTGTGCAGTATGCTGAATCCATCACTGAGTTTTAGGACTTCTTGACTGCTTGGGCTGCTGCTGGCCCGAAAGCCACTGACAAGGCAGGGTGGGAAGGAGCTGTGGCAGCAGAATTACTGATCCTGTTCCTAAAGCACCCAACTATAGATTCTGGAATTGTCCTTCCTGCTCTCATGCTACTGACAGCAGGAAGCTGCCTTTCTGGGGGTGACTTAAACTCCCACCCTCCACATACTTTAACTTGTTAAATGGCTGGCAACTTTCTGTACCTGCTTCTCCAGAGGCAAAAGAAATGAGTGTGCATTTCACCTGGACTACAGCTTGTGAAAGCAAATGTCATTCAATTGTAGGTTCATAGTTCGAGAATTTTATTATGATGAGAAGGAGCTGAAATGTGAAAAGGAAGAGCTGATGAAATTAGCTTCTGATAAGAAACAACAGTATGTAAGTAGCCCCTCAAGCTGATGGCCTGCATAAATGCAGCCTTTGCTGCTAGCGTGCCTAAGCATCTCTGACTCAGAAATGGCTTTATGGTTCCACCAGTCTCCTGTGAGCTCCATTTAGCCCATAAAACTGAGGCATGGGATAAATAACATGATTGGCCCAAAGTCATCTGAGTTTCTGATAAACTGGGAGTCACTACCAGGTGCCTGGGAACTGTCCCAGCAGCCCATGATGACCTTAGAGATGTGTTAGCTATGGGGCTGCTTCACTCAGCGAGGGCATCACAGTACTGTTGTGTCTGTTCTCATAGGGCCCATTACTGCGCTGGCTGAAAGTGAACTTCAGTGAAGCATTTGTAGCTTGGATTCATGTGAAAGCCTTGAGAGTTTTTGTTGAATCTGTCCTGAGGTGAGTAAACACAGAGTGCGGGCAGAGATTCCTGTGAAAGTCAAAACGTACAGTTCTGTTCCTGGTGCAGTTCCTATGTGGGTGGAACCCTTACACACCTTGTTTTGTGTTGATTAAGGTGTGTCCCTTGCACACTTCATTCCAGGAGCTCACGGGAGACAATACACATCACAAAAAAAGTGACACACAAATTTGATGAAAAACAGTTCTTTGGGGGCATGCAGAGGGAAGCAGAAAACAGAAAGACACTATTCAGTTGACTTTTGTCTTTAAAAAGAAAATGCTTTCCAGTAAGAAGGCAGCATTGTTTCTGCAACATACCATCAGCTGGCATGCCTGGAGGCTGAGGAGGGAGAAGGGCAGGAGCAGAGAGCTGTGTCCCTTCCCAGCAGATGATCATGTATGTTGATGTGTTTCAAGGTATGGCCTCCCAGTAAATTTCCAAGCAATGCTGTTGCAGCCAAATAGGAAGTCTGTAAAACGCCTGAGAGACGTCCTAAATGTGGTCTTCAAACACCTGGATGAAGTTGCAGCAGCAAGTATAATGGATGTACGTATTTGACCTGCAAGCACACATGCTGTAGCTCGCCTCACCTTAGCCAAATGAACTTCTACTGTCCAGGGGCTACAGCATGCATGTCCTCACATCTTGCAGTGCTAGGAGCCCTGGGGGCAGCTCTAATCCCTGGTGGTTGCAGACTGGATTAGGGTAACAGGCTCAGATTATGATGCACATGCACAGAGATTGCTTGTATTTTCTGTTGAAGCATCTGATGTTTACAGCTACCCAGAAGATAATAGGTCTGCTCAATTATGGCAGTTTCTCTGCATAAAAGGCTTAAAGTCCTTTATGAACATTCAGATCAAAACAAGCAAGATTAAAAAAGAATATGGAGCTAAACACTAGGAGTGGGACACCTCTATCCCCTGTAAAAGGCTGTCATTCATAAATAACCCAAGCCTTAAGCAAGCAGTACTTGCTTTCACCTTCCCCACATCTTGAGTGCACAAACATTTTAGGCTAAAGTAATAAATAAACTAGCAGGTGTTCAAAACAGCCTAAAACCAGCAACCATGATTCCCACTACACGAAGGGAAGACAAAGAGATGAGTTGCTCTAGAGCTCAAGTGCACAAAATTGCTTCAAGTTCATAACAATGGAGCCCGAATTCTCAATGTTACGTTAGACAGCCTGAAACAAGCACAGACCAGATTCTCGGTGGTGAATGTGGGAGAGGGGCACAAAAGCAAGCCCCTGTAGCTTGGAACTGTGCAACAGTTTGTTTACTGCCACTAAAGTCATATTATTTCCTTTTCCAGCCTGGCATGGACATCCCTGGCTTACAACTGAGTAATCAAGAATACTATCCTTATGTCTATTTCAAGATTGACCTCAGTCTTCTTGACTGCAGTTAAAGAAAAATTGCTTAAGCTCCATCTATTAATTTTCAAGACCTTAATGTTATAGTAAAACAATCTTTAGCGGCTGAAAGTCAAATTAAAATGCAGATGCTGTAGCAGGATGATCTTCCTACCACTTCCAATAATTTTTACAGTGACTTCGATATAAATATTCCTTATTCTTAGTTTTACAAAAAATATTTCAGAGGCGGGAGGTACTATGGTAGTATTTATTTTTTTTTTTTGGTAAATTACAAAGGTGGAGTATCTACAGGACTTGAAATAAAACAATTTAAAAAGTATGGTGGCTAATGGGTCTACTAAGTATATATAGTCCTGTTTTTCTAAAAAAAACAAAACAAAACAAAAACAAAACTAACAGAAAAAGTAGAAAGCATCAGAGCAAAGTCCAAAGTTCTTTTAATTTAACAAAAAATGCCAAAAGCTTAAGAGGAAAGATCCTCAAAAATGCTGAGGAGCTAATTGTAGTATAACTTATAGTCCCAAGTACTCATGAGTTTAGTTTTTGCAAAGATATTTCAGTTAAAACGGTTCCTTTAGATCTCATCTGCTGGGATGTTGAGTTGGAGCACATCTCTTGCATCAAATCAGCAGTCAAGTTACTGCTGGTTCTGACACTGCCTTTCACAGGGATGAGCTACGGGCAATCTCGTACAGACACCAGATGAAAAATATCCATATTAGGTTATTTCCTTGAAAGAAGGGGAGACCTTCAGCTCTTTCATTCCTCACTTATAAACAAGCTCATCATATGAGGATCACTTCACTATACACCAGTATACAAGACATGGAGAGCAATAAAATAATAGTATTTTTATTAAAAAAGCAGCAGTAAACATCCCTATTACCAGTTCCCCTTCCAAGGAAATAACAATTCCAGATCAAAACGATGTCAGATGGGAAGTGAAGAAACATTACCCAATTTGCTGGAGACAGCACCAGGGTGGTTTTCTTATAGCACCTGGAAATCCTCATACCCTAAAATGGGGATTAGCTTCACCACTAATCCAGGGGAAAGTCCAACAGCTCCCAGTATCTCCCACTGCAGCAGCAACCGCACTTCTACTGTATTAATGATCTTACAAAGTCTGGAACAAAGACAGAGAAAGCCCCTGAGAAGGAATATGAAAAGGAAGACTGAAGAGCATTTAAACTAAGATAGTCCATCTAATCAGGCTTTAGGTCAAACTGTCAAGATCTCACAGCAAGGGGGTGGTTTAGGACTCCCGTCAGCACAGGCCTCTCTATTCTACAGTTCAGTTTTCAAGAGTCATCCAGAACAGGACAGCTTGTATCATGTGCACCTTTCTTACTCTATACAAGACTAACACTGTGTGTCAAAAAATATTTTATTCTTTAATTGAAACAGAAGCTGACCAGGTTCCACCTCTGTGAAAAAAAAAAATACATTTAAAGTTGGTTACACTAACAGCCTCCAGTAACACTCAAACACCACACTATCCACAAAATAAACCCCAAGATGTTCCAAAGAAATATCCATGTTGTCCTCAAAGTATTTGTTACACAGACAGAATACAATCAAGTTTACTGGTTATGACAATTCATAGAATTTCTGCAATGTTTTCTTGAGATGCGTACAGTCCACTGCTGCAGTGCATCAAACAGCACAGTTTGTCACGTGCTGGTCTCCATATAAAGGCCACTGGAATATCCATCTGATTGTGATCCAGGCTGCAAACTGCTGCGCAAACTCTCCCAAGAAAAAAAGTTTCCTGAAGATCTCACAGCTCGTCTTTATCCCAGTCATCCAGATCCACATCACTGAGATCAATGTCATCTTCAACTGGAAGCTGTGAGAAAGGGAAGGTTTTGAGCATGTGTTTAGAAGTGCTTAAAGTCAGGAGATCCCCGATTTAGAAAGATCCTTACTTCATTCTAAGAGTAAAGCTCCCCCCAGTCATCTCTTTCATTCACAAAACTAAAAGTGCATTAAGCACAAGACAAGTGATCAGTTTGGACTGAAGGTTGTTTTCTACTAACAAAAACACTCCACACGAAGGCAATACAGGTAAACTCTGTAACAAAACTACTACCATTTCCATGCTTTTATTTGTCTGAAGTAGATCAAAGGACTGCAGTAACTTTTTTTTTACAGCAATTTTGAACTTTAAGAACGTACACGGAATCACTGTTATTTGTTACACAGGCTTTACCCTACAAACTTTCTGACAGTAAGACCTTGATGGCAAGGTCAGCATATTGCAGAACCAGTGTCTCCACAACACTGGAGTCTTGAATGCATGCACTACCACCTCCCTTACTCAGCACTGCTAATACACTTCTCCCTCAAGAGATCCAACTTTCAGATCACATCCTAACAACTAGGCAGGAGCATCTGGTTCACAATGTCAGACGATCAGTTTGGTATTAGGTCTGCTGGCAGGATTTAGATAATGCAAAACCATCAACAAAACTTGCCACAGTCTTGTAAGAACGAGAATTTTCACACTGACAGTTCTTAGTTACTCTATTCTGTCACTTCTGAACCCAGCAGTTTATCAGCACCTTTAGAAATGGAGCACCTCTTACCTCACCATCTTTGCCATCCCAGGGTTCAACTGAATGAATTTTGGGGAATGCTCCACCACCCACTGGTGCTGTAGAGCCACGACCAACAGAGAGTTCCCTGAGAAAAAACATGTAAAAGTAAAGTTAAGAAATTTCTCAAGCCTTCATCCACCTGGAACAGTGCCTGCTTCAGATAAAAGGAAGTCAACTTCAAGATTTCATCTCTTCAAGCAAATCTGAGCTGTCTGGAAGCAAAACCTTTTCAAAGTGAGAAGCAGAAAATGACAAGAGCCCTTAAAGCAGTCTTGAAAATTTACAATGGGATCCAAAGACATCTGTGACCTTCACTATTTCATATTTCAGCAGTGTAATAATCATGGATAAGTACAGATCTTCAACAGTATGTTGTTTATCACTTAAAGCAACTCCAAGGAGAGTCTAGAATTGTATTTGTGGAAGTCACCTGCAGCTGTTATTTAAAATTACCACAGATCTTTTTTACTGAAGACTAAGCCTCCATGGGTTCCAATGGGTACAAAATAACCAGCCTCTGAGACACTCCATCCTGCCCTTGCTGCTTAGGGTTGCTCTAAAAGCCCAGCATTAAAATCCTGATGAGCTAATTCCTTTGCATTTTTTCAGAGGCAAATAAGACTGAATTAGCATTTCTCTCTAGGTGGATTCCACAATTTTTGTGCTCTTCAAAGTGCCAATTTCTTTATTTGTAGTCAACACTGCTGAGACTGCCTATTAGATTACAGAAGCTGCCTACAGCAGCTGGGTTAACAGCCAGCCAGGCACACCGACTGTGATTAAACTGCTTTCTCTAGGCAGCACAGCTGAGCTGAAGCATGGAAAGACAATACCAAACCAATTACCCAGCAATATAAGCTGTTAAATTGGCTGTTGTGTCCTGGAAGCACCCTCACCAGGAGAGGCTTCACTATAATGGATTTTACAGACTAAGAGAATTTGCCATGTCTGAGAAAGGCAGATGCTTCTTTCACGTGCATTAATTAGTACAAACTGTCTGGTGTTTCTTTTCTTGCATCTGAATCCTGAATTTTACTTGATGTCCTAAGAATGTTTATTTTTTGGCATTAAGAAGAAAGTCTGATCACTTGGTAAGATCTTACCTGTCTGATCAACAGGTAAGAGAATATAGCATTGATTCCATTAATCCAGCAGGAACAGCATTCAGTTAATGTGCTTCTTATGGCAAGGTGGGGAGAAGCTGTTGCATTTGCTTTTGCAATTCTGTCTGTCCTCTGCCATTCTCCAAGCAAAGACATGGAAATAAGACTGCCAATGTAAGCTCCCAAAGGCTCTTGCATACATTATGGCAGGCAGTGCTTTACCCGGAAGCAAAGTTCCCACCTCACTTTGACCACACTGAAGTAAAAGTTTGATTTTAGCTGCTCTGTTTCAGTGATGCTGCCACCTTCTGTCATCCTCGCCATTTCCCTGCCTCATTCCATTCTTCCCAGCACTGGTTCTTGCCCAGCTATACAAGGGGCAGTTTCAGGGAACTTGTGCTGAGCAGTGAGCTACTGAATTTTTGGATGGATTGCTTCAGCAACACTAATCAGGTGCCAGGAGAATGGGAGGTGGGAGGAGGAAGACAGGACCAGACTGAACATGGAAGATGAACAGTAACATATACAACTTCAACAGCACCTATTTAGATTCCCAAACTGGGAACTTCCCAATTATGAATGACTAGTCAGAATGCATTATTTGAATTAAATAGAATTGATTACCAAGTTACTTCCTGAGCTACAGAGAAACATAATTTTTCACCATCAAAGCCCATTTCTGCTGTCAAAAGTTGCACCAAAACTATTTAAGTCTAAACAGCCAACTTAATTTTGCACACCATAAAAACGTTGTGACTTCTTTATTGCAATCCCCACTGAAATCATTCCCTACTCCAGTGAATTCTAATCATAATTCTCTTAACTGTGCAAGTCTTGTCTGATCCTGAAGAGTCTGATTTTGGCCTAAAGACTCACAGCCCCAGTTACTGAAAGATTCAACTTGAAGATTTCATACCTGAGAAACTCATTAATCCCTTGCTCACTGAATGATCCTTTCAGAAGGGCAAATTTCATCTTGCGAGCATTAACAGCAGCCATTGCTGGATACCCAAAGCCTCCAATTCCCAGAGAGCTCTCAAGATCTGACTGAGCACCTGCTTCTGTCCACAGCCACCTTGAGGAAAAGATGAAACAGAAAATTAACAATGAAGATAGGCACTACGATAATTTTCAAGTCACACATATCCTGCAACCCTGCAGAGTTCAAGCGGGACTCTGAACTGCCCTTGACAGTGGCAACTGTTACTGAAATCAGCAGGGAATAGCAGGGAGCTGATCCTGAACCCTGCACCAGAAGAAAGCCCCTCCTCAGCAGCGCCACTAGGCCAGTCCCACCCTCACAGTCACTGAAATCAGAACTGGATCAAAACAGCCACTCAAGATGTTGCAGGGAAAGAACTATGTTACCAACATGAACAAACTGCTACACTTTCGCCTGTATTAAGCAAGGTTTAAAATTACTGAAGTCACAGATCCAAACATGACAAAGTCCTGCCCAAATATCACTATGAAGGATTTTTAGCTAAGGACACTCAATGTTTGTTTCTCACTGGTCAGGTGTCAGTTCCTCTAATGCTTAGCAAGTCCCCTGAGTAACCTGTGGAATCAGCCAATCTCAGTATTGTCCCCCAGGCTTTCATGCCATTCTGCGCCCTTTCACAGCAGTCTGTGTGACAGAACAGCTCTCACTTTCCAATAAAGTTCCAGAGATTCTAACCTGCACTTTCGAGGAGGTGGCAAAGCCTGCTGGCCTGCTTCTTTGACAACATGAAACTTGTTGATAAACCATAATTTACCTTTTTTTTTCCCCTGAGAATCCAACATTCATACTGGCAGACTCACCCACCAGCAAAAGACTCTAAAAGAAACTGCCCTAAAATATTTTAGTATTCAGGACAAGAGTAAAAGTTGCTTATTCTCATTAATGCTTAGATATCTTATAAATGCAGAATTTGAGGTGGATGAAAAGAAAAAAAAATAGCAGGTTATTCTAAAGTCACAGCATTCCCTCCCCCAGTAATTAGTGAAATACCACAGTATGCTACCCACATTCACAGTATGCTGAACAAGGAACAACTCTGATCTGTAGTTAAATTGCTATCATACAAATGTTATCCCTTTACCTCCAGAAATGCTCACATCTTTTCCAAGATAACCAATCTACAATGACACTTACCCCCACATTTTCTTTTTGTATTTTTCAGCCATTTTTAACATGACATCTAGGTAGGAATTTCTCCCTGAGGCTCCTGTTAGACAGAATTGGACAAGTTAAAAACCACAACGACATGCTCTAAGTGACAAATTCATACAGAAGTCTGCTTGTTTGTATGTGTACCTGTGTCAAGAATATGAGGCAAGACAGAAATGATGCACAGTTGATGAGCATCACAGGTAGTCTTCAGAACATCCTCACTAATTATCTAGAAGAAAGTAGCAGAGTGTCAATGAGACTTGGTTATTCAGTTGTGACTGCATTTCCCTCCAACAGCCTTATAATAACTCCATCCTACAAAGTAATAAGCATTGAAACAACTTGACACAAGCTGATGAGTCTCCCCTACTCCACTGGTCCCCCATCACGAGAGTAATTTACAAAGTAAATTTGTAATTCACAAAATCTTCTGTTGAGACTTGCAGCAACAGTAAAGTGGTACCAAATAAGGCTTACAGAAAGATGTCACTTGTTGCTCAAAATCACTGTCCTTGCCCCAGGCTGGGAAGAGCAGTCCTGGGCCCATGCAATGCCTGCTGGCACAAGGAGAGCCAGCGGTGAGCAGCTTTTGCTGCAAGAGGTTGTTCCATCAACAGTAACAGCAACACTGGGTTTATGGGATCTGCCTCCAAAAGGAATCAACCCAGTGACCTGCACCAGTGGTCTCCAACCTTTGATTGTACCATTTAAAAATATCTTTAGGTTTATTAATGGTACAAATGTTCTTGATTTTTCCTTCCTGCATCGCAGTGGATTGTCTTGAATGCACCTCACTTTGGGACACAACTGATCACCATTTCAAATCTACCAACACAAAGCGGAAACCACAAGTTGCCATACAGGGGATGGGGTTTCTTGGACAAGCAAAATTGCTCATCATGCACCTCCTAATGGACAGCTTACAAATGACAAAGCCCTGCCCTCTTGTTGTGGAAAGAAATGGGGCACAGAGCCCAACGTTTTCACTCATTTAAGAGCAGACTCAGACACCCTGTCACCATCCTGTTTATACCTTCACTGCATCAATTCTGATAGTCTTCGATTCAGCAACAAATTCAGAGTAGAAATAAACATTTAGCTTTCTGTTAATTAAGACTTATCACCCTTTACTTTCTGGGGCAAAACAGTGCACAAGCACCACACTTAGGCAGTTTTATTTACAGTTAATATAGTACTGTTAAAATTGTTGCCAAGAATATGATGGAAAAGCAATTTGAGAAAATAATGTAGAGGTACCTCCAGGAGCTCAGGTGGTGGTGCATTATCAGAAAACAGATCCAGAGCACGAGCAATGATATCAGATCTAGTTCTCCCACCATCATAATCAACAGGGTCTTCACCTTTCTGGAAGATTTTAATGGTGGGAAATCCACGAATCTGCAAGACAAGTTTAAACCATCAGCTCAAATAAACATGAATTGATGGTGGAATTGAACACGGTAGAAATTATCTGCTTGTCCGATGTGTTCCAGATTAAGAGCGAGGGAAGAGATTCAAGATCTACATGTATCAAATCTCACAGCATGTTCTGACTTAACTTGAAGAATTTTGTAGCTTTCTACCTGTGCAGCAATTCAAAATAAAGTTAACATACATTGAAACACTGTTTCAGAGTTTGGCTGATGAACCAGCAATGGTTTCATCTCAATTCAGATGCACAAAGCACGACATATTACTCTTCATATTTATTTTGTCTGTGGGGGGACAGCACTGTGACTACATGGCAACAAATAGACCTTAAACTCTCTCTGCTACACTTCCAGTAAAACTTCCTCCATGTTCCTCTTTGCTGTCAGCCGTATGCACTTACAGGGAAACTAAGCAGCACACCGTAAGCTCTGTGGACTGTACTAAAAATTAAAGAGTATCAGCTTATTTTGGGCGAGCAACACATCTGATCTGTGCAGCCAATATTGTCAGTGATCCCTGCTAACTGGCTCCAAGGTGTACAGGTACATGTATGGGTTCTGGAGGTGCCCAGACAGCATACAAGCAGTCTGAAAAGAGAGACCTCTCACTTCAAATGATAAATGCATACAAGATCTTATGGAAACAGATGACCTTTTTCATCAGCAACATCCAAATTTATTCTTTTCCTCTCTCCCATTTATACTGTTACTGACATTCAGGAATTAATTATTTGTGGAAAAAAATTGTATGCACCACTTATTTTTAGCACAAAACTTTTAAGGAGTACCAAATTAAGGAACAGTTCAGTAAGCATTGAAGAGAAATCTGACTTGATAGAGAGGGAAACAAAAAATTGTAACCACTGCAGAGCACACTCACCCCGTATCGGCTTGCCAGCATCTGATTGACTGTTGCATCTACTGCAGCCAGCTTTACTTTTCCTTTTGTTTGTTCCTTCACCTCAGTGGCAGCAGCTGCCCATTCTGGCTCCAGGCTGAAAAACACAGCACAAGTGCTCTAAGCTCTTTGAGACTTAGCAAAAGTATACCCCACATTACACAGTGCATTCCACTCAAGGAAATAAAGTCTCTGCAGAGAATGATGACAGAGTTATTCCAAAGGAGACTAATGTCCTGCATCTTAAGGAATTAAAAGGGTAATATAACTCCTGGATCTTATTTCTACTGATAACTGGGAATTTTACTGCTAAGGAAGAGCGCAGCCAAAGCAGCACCAAGGGGCCCTGAGCAAAAGCCCACACATTTTTATTAAAACACCTTACAGAAAACCCCACTTCTGGTCTACCAGAGATGGAAGGTTTCTTTCAGGGGGACTAAGGGTATCAAACAAAACCAAGCACTAATGGGAACTGAATTGTCAAAGAAAAACCTCATTTACTTTTTGCAGTGCCCACACCATGGGGCATAAAACTCCACCATCCACACATCGTCACTATTGATGACGTTCTTATCGAAGCTGTCATCAGTCAGCTCAATCACATCCTTCTTGCCTCCACCTCCACTCTCCCGGCTCTGTAAGAAACAAACAGACCCTCATGTAAGAAGTAACCAAAGCTGGTTTCCCACATAAGCCAACTCCTGTGCGTCATCTTGTACCAAATGGCCTTTATTTGAGTAGGATACAAAACAGGCAGTGTTAGGTCATACAACTTTCCCGTTTTAGAAGTGACAAAACACACAGCCTACTCCCACAGCACTTTCAGGAAACAGCAAGTGAACCTTCTCTTGAAAAAAAAGAAAAAGAGAAATCAGGTCAAACTGACTACAGAGAAGATGGGAGCACTTTCCCAGTTCTTCATGCTCTGATCTGTCCAAGAACAAAGTGCTCTCCAACCACCACCTCCATCCGGAACTGTGTCCTGGTTTCCAGGCAAAACAAACATGTGGGAGTGCAATATACACTACAGGGTACATTCCACCCAGGTCTTCTACCTGGCCAACCTGAGGACGCCAGAGTGTACTTGCACCATGATTTACAGACAGCAGTAGGAGCCAGAAGGTATATATATATATACCTTCAATATATATATTGAATATACCTTCAGGGAGAAATCCAGCAAGCCAACTTCAAAAAAACACTACTAAATTAAAAAAATCTATCCATCCAGCTCAGACTAGGACTAGGCAAATGATACCTGGACCACTTGGATAATGGAGCTAACAGGGACCTCAAAGTTCAAAAGCAGATGCATTTGGCAAATAACAGCCCCATACACCAGTACGTGCTGGGGACTGACTAGCTGGAGAGCAGCAAGAGAAACCTCAAGGTCCTGGTGGACAAGCAGAATACGAGCCAGAACTGCACTCCCATGGTACAAGTGGCCAAGAGCCTCTGAGCTGCACTATGCAGAGAGCTGCCAGCAGGTCAGAGGAGGCAATCTCTCCCTTTGCTCAGCACTGTGTGAAACACCTGGACTGCTGGGTCCCATTCTGGGCTCCCTGGGAGAGGAGGAATGCAAACACTGGAGCAAGTCCAGCCAAAGCTGATTAAGAGTATGTGATGAAATGGTGAAGGAAAAGTAAAGAAAATGACAGGTTCTTCTCTGCAACAGCAGAGACAAAAGGGCATAAGCTGAAATAGAAGAAATAACATTCTATGATGCTATTAACTTAAACACAAGAGAAAGATTTCTACTGTGAGGATGGTCAAACACTGGAACAGGCTGCCCAGAGACTGCAGTCTGCATGGAGTGTCAGATCTAGGAGATACAACTTGATAGGACACAGCCCTGAGCAATCTTCTTAGCTGACCCTGCACTGGGCAGGGGGCTGGACTGGAAAACCTGCAAAAATCCCTTTCAACTTCAACTATTCTATGATGGAATTGGGGCACAAGCTCTGACCCCCTGTACAAGACAGTCTGCAGTTGAAAAACAAACACACATTCCCTCAAATACCTGTTTTCCAGAGCTGTATCCTCCACTTCTGCCACTAAGTCGTTCTTTCACCAGGGACCGAAGAGCACTTAGAGCAGCTTCAACAATAGCATCACTTGTCCTGCCACCTGCAATACAGAAAAGTAAGTGATTAAATCACCACAAGGCCAGTTTAAGGTCAGCTTCTAAGTTAATTACAAACAATACTCCCTCACCCTAATGATTTTTCAGGAAAAGCAGGACTGGGCTATGAGTGATACAGTCCTAGTGGTGGGACATCTGACTTGAGCACAAGCAGCAGGACTGACTTCACTACACCTTTTAGCAACCCACCTTATCTGATGAGGGGTGACTGTGGCAAGCTCCAAATAAACAGGAAGAAAGGAATAATTCTTTGGAACTGCCTACCAACCTCCAAAAACTACGAACTGCAGGTGGGACTGTTAGTCCATGCTAAGACATACACAGTTTGGTTAAACCGGTCCCACCCATCTGTCTCAGTTACTACAAGCACTAGACAAGGAGGAAATGCCACACAAGACAGCATTAACAACTACCATACTTGCTGTTATCAGGGAAGCTTTTAGGCATGTAACATGTAAAACAGCATCACATTTACCCTGATAGTCCTCTGCTTTGTGTTTGTTGGCTCCAAATATCTTGATGGTTGGAAACCCTCTAACTCCATACTGTCCACCCAAGGACTGATGTTTATCTGCATCTACTGCACCCACTTTCACTACACCCTGCAGAAACAAAAAAAGAAACAACACCTGAGACAAGACTTCTACAGTGATTTAACACATTTCATACTCTCTGCTGCGGGCAGAGAAAACGAGGAGGAGGGGAAGAGGGAGGGATAGTTAATAGGACTGTAAGAGAACAGTCACCAGAAGAGATGTACTTCCCCCCAAAAGCATTAAATTACAGAACACTATATATATCCATTTTTTAATTCAGCCTGACAAACTAAATTTTACATTGTTTGTTTTTTTATTTAGTTGGGATTTTTTTGTTTGGGGGTTTGTCTGTTTGGGTTTTTTTTTTTAGAAGGGGAATATATATGTTACAAAGACAAGAAATCAGCAAATCACTACATTACCAAGTTTTTTGTAATTAAATACTCATCCCCAACAACTTACAAAGCTGTTTTCAGTTCTGGAAAACTGTAATGGGAATTCACACGGACAGAACTGACTTGCTTCCTCCTCAATTTAATGTCTTCTTTTATAAAGGAAAAAAACCCCAAACAACCACACAAAAATCCTGACTTTTTAAGTGCCTGAATGACTGCTTCTCTGGTTGGACAAGTATGGTTAGAGTGATAATGGTTTTAAGGACCAAATCCCACCTCCATGTTCTCAAGCCATATGACAAACAGTCAAACTCTCTTAAATCCACTGCACATTTGAAAGGCTAAACTTACTTTCAAAGCTGTTGCAGCTTTCTTCCATTCAGGGGTTAGTCTTTGACAATGACCACACCTTTTAGAAAAAACAAACAAAACCCAGTAATTGTCATTCAGATCTGACAACTATTTCACAGTTACTCACAGGAAACTGTGGGACAATGAATATTTACTCATAAAGAGGGGAAGAGGCTATGCCACAACATCACATCATCACTTAGGCTTCAAAAACCTTCACATTATATAAGTGCGTGCACGCGTGCACACACACACACACATATATGCAAATATCTCAATAGCTACCTGTCTTTCCCAAAACAGAGTCAAACATAGGCATGAAAATCCTGATTTGCACACCAGTCTGCTTGTGGCAGGCTAAAACACACCTTTGATGAGGCCTAAAAGAATTATTCTAGAGGTTACTTCTTAACTAGCAAGAGTTTGTGGCACAACTCCTGGAAGTGTCTGAGAGAGAAAACCAACAGCATATAATCACAATCATCACAAGTCTGCAAGGAGAGGAACTGCCAATCTCCTGTTCTACACTTCATTGCTACTGTTCAATAAAGCTTCTCATTGCCCATAAACTGCAACATTAGGAGAGGCACAGCAAGCCTTCCCCTAAACGTCTCAGTCCAGACACAGCCAGGCTGTTGCAATGAAAGGCCACTTTCTCCAGACTGTGGAACTTTGAGATGGCAATTCACAGATGATTTGTACAAAGATGGAATATATATCACCAGAATTTAAATGGAAGAGACTCCATGCTCTGGACTTAAGCAGGACAGAAGACAAAGAGAGATACTAAAGATGCACAAAGCCAGTATTTTTCAATGGAAATTGTAAATTCTAACTGAGAATTCAGATTTGTGCTTTCACATTAGAATTACATTCAGAAACATGCAAGTGAGGGGCCTTTTCACTTACCTATTGCACTTCAATAATTTCTAATACTAATTTCATCAGAAAAATTGAAGTAGTAAAATAGAGTATAAGATTTTGTTATCAGACCCTGTTTGCCAACTTGAAACAAATTCCTGCCTTTTTCTATCATGAGAATATTTAAAACAGGAATCCCAAGTACAGCTATTTTGCTAGTCATGAAGCCATCAAACCGGCAACTGTGCTGCCAACAACTGAATGAAACTTTGGGTTGATCAGCAGCAGATTCCTGTGCTGCTCCTCCGTGTAAGAGCAAGCAAGTTCACAGCTGTGATTCTTACCATGGGGCGTAGAACTCCACTAGCCACAGGCTCTCGCTCTGAATGACCTCCTTGTTGAAGTTAGTTGGTGTGAGTTCTATCACATCATCACTGGCCGAATACAAACCGTTAACTGCCAGGAACAAAGTGCAGCTCACCGTGCCTACAACAAAAAGCAAAGCAATCAGCATTCCAGTTCAACATTTATGATTCTCCTGTTGCCATGGCTAAATCATCTCCCCACACCCTGAAAACAAGCAGCGGTGGGAAGGGATTCCAGTCTGACCACATAAAAAAGGAAGTTAAGCCAAGACATATGCTTTCCCTCCTCACTTCAAACATGGTTCCACAGGACCATGTAATATAAGCTCTGTGCCTAAAGCTGGCTGGAGTTAGGCCACTCCTGCTATGGCTCTCCAGAGCACCTTTCCCCAGAGCTCCTACCCTACCTCCTACTGTACCAGACCACCAGAACTTCCGCAGGGTTCCCCACATAAACTCCTAAGCCAATTGCTCACACTTCTTGCATAGCAGGCACTCAAACACTTTTTTTACAAAATCACATAATGCAGGACTGTCCCAGCTGGGCTTGGCACAATTACACTGATTTTAGGACCAGCACTTGATGCACTGGTAGTGTAATGAGTTCCTTCATTCTTGCTCATGAGACCTTAGTCTACCGTTGATTTCCCTCTATTGTACAACAGCTGAATCTCTCTGGTTAACAACTCAAGCACTCTGGGAATGCTAAAATATAACACGAAAAGATACATGGAAATTGCTTTCTCTTATAACTTTGTACTTCTGATCATTTTTGGAACTTATTATTGCTTGAGGCCTTGTACATAAAACCTCGTAATCCTTCATTCTACCAAGTCAGAGAGATTGAGAGCTGATTTGATGAGAAATGGCAAGCATCTCTGCAACAAATCCACCCAGTAAAAGACTTCTCTTAATCCACTAAAGACTGGGGGGAGTAAGAGCCCAGACACCCAAGTTAGAACCAGACAAAAAATAGCTTTGCTGCAGCTGGTTAATAACTTGTATGGGAAGCTGCACATTATCTCTCAAGGCTGAAAGTGAGAGGAAGACATGGCTCAATCATGCAGAAACTCTACAGCACATGGTAGACAAACTGCACAGCATCACCCACAGTTTATCAGTCCCACTCAAGAAAAGCCAGTTCTGTCACTTTTATTCTGCAGCTGAGAGAAGCTGACAGCAACATCTTCCAGGTTATTCAAGCAGAGATCAGCACTGAAACGCTACACAACCCACTGCACCACCATCCTTTCCTAGTGGTTTCTTCTGGCACAAGGACCCAACCCTTTCCTTTTGAGATGATCATAATTGGTTTCCAGCACCAGATTTACACGTTAGATTGGCTCTGTTCCTTCAGTATGCCTACACACAAACAGCACTTCATCAGCACTGATCAACTGACTTGCAAGGCGATCTGTGGCTGTCACAGCATGTTACAGTGACCTACAGAAGCAGCTGCTGCTGGGATAGAGTAAGAAAACACGGTCCCTCGATGTTACAGTCACTCTCAAGAGCAAAAACCTTCTCTAGATGGAATGAGACCATTAAATTGAAATCAGTGTATTTGTTTTAGGTAATCTCTGGCAGAATAAACTCAGAAGACTGAATTTATCCAGCCATTTCTGTCCCTTCAAACAGAGAAGTTCTAGCTTATGCAAAAACAGATGCTAAAGAGAACTCAAAAAGAAAGCACATGGTGAAATGCACCTAGTCACGTATCACCGCATTTTTTTAAAACTATGACTCATGAATGTTTCACTATAGAAAGGAAAGTTATGCCACCAGTTCAGGGTTTGATTCATCTTTGGCAAAGAAAAAGATCATTTTCCTACAGGTATCTAAGCCAGATAAATTCAAATCTGTCCTTGTTATTAAGGCAAAAAGAAACAGATAATCTGATTTCAAAAGTTGTTTTCTAATGCTGGCAAATCACACAGACATAAGCGTTATTAAACCAAGGCAGCTCCATACTGGTATTACTCGTCCTCACTGAACATCAAAGTTGCAACTCTGAAGATTCGTAAAAAAAGCTTTTGTCACGGGATGATGATGATTATTCTGCGATCCTCCTCCTTCAAACACCTCCTGCAGCGGCGCTGGGCGCGCCGGAGCTCACAAATCCCTGCACACGTGCGCCCGGGGAGACACAGCCTTGGGCAGCGCTCCCGGCACCTCCCGCCTTTCCACCGAGGGCCCGAGTGGGAATCGTTTACCGATTTCCCCCGCACACAAGATGCGGCAGCAGGGGGAGGGGAAGGGGATCGCCAGCTCCTCACAGGTTCCTCCGTTTGCCTTCGGTCACCGCTCTCTCGATGCCCCTCACAGCACCAGACCCCAGGGCAGGGCAGCCAGGCAGGCACGACGCCGTCGCTTACTCAAATCAAAGCGGTTTTATATTTATTAGGGCGGAAGGTAGTCACCGTTTTATTTATATTTTTTTGTTACTGGGATCTTTAGGCCTTTAGGATGTTTAGCATCTCCCTGTCTGCGCTCCAATAACAGACCGAGCAACCCCCACCCCCTCGGCACAGACCGGCCACGGCCGGACCGAGGCTGCGAGCGCTTCCCCCCAGAGTCACAGGGCTGGAAAAGACCCCCGAGGTTATCGAGTCCAACCTATGACCCAACACTACCATGTCAACTATACCATGGCCCTGAGTGCCACGGCCAGTCTTTCCTTAAACATCTCCAGGGACGGTGACTCCACCACCCCACTGGGCAGCCCGTTCCAACATCTCATCACCCTTTCTGTGAAGGTTTCTTCCTAATCGCAATCTAAACCTCCCCTGGCGTAACTTAACATTGTGTCCTCTTCTCCTGCCGCTTGTTGCCTGGGACAAGAGGCCGATCCCCCTTGGCTACAAGCTTCTTTCACGAGGCTCCCCGTTCCGCCCATGACCCGCATGGCCCCCGGCCCCGCTTCTCCCCCACGCCCCCGCGATGGAGCCCGCAAAGCCGGTGAGAAAGAAGCCACATCCCGCCGTGCTTCTCCGTGCCCCGCCGCCCCCTCAGGCCACCCCTCGGCCCCTCAGGGCACCTACCCCACCACAGCCGGCCCGCGCCGTGCACCCCCATGGCTGCCCCGCTCCCTCGGCCGCCGCCGCCGCCACGGCCCGCGCGCCCCGCCCCGCCCCACCCCCGCCACGCTCCCCGCCGTGGCTGCCGCCCATTGGCCGCGCTGGCGCTCGCCCAGCGCCGCAGCCAATGGCGAGCGGCCGCGTCAGCCGCTGCGGCGCGCGGCGCCGTGGGAGGCTCTGAGGGGCGGGGGAGGAGGAGGAGAAGGAGGGCGGAGGGGTCAGGGCTGGGCTGGGCTGGGTTGGGGCTGGGCCCGAGTCCTGGGATTTACAGAGTATGGGGAGTTACCTGAGGTGTGAGCGCTGGTGCCCTGAGGAAAAAGTCTCAGTCTGCTTCTTGCAGTTTCCCAGGGTCTCTCCCTGATCAGAGCGCCCCCAGCCCCTCCCGCCTCAGCGCTGAGGGGTGACCGGGCCTGGGCCAGAACCCGCGCAGGCCTTCAGGGAGAAGGAAGGCAGGCCAGGGATTTGTCCTGTTCGGTGCCCGAGCTTTGCTGCTGTCTTTGAGTGCAAACATAAGCCTCAAGGGCGGTCTAAATGGTCAAATCTAGATGCCTGCAAAAACCAAGGCAGGCATCTAGATTTGAAAAAAAAATCTGTTTTCCAGTTGCAAGCTTGCCTGTAGAAGTAGAAATTAGCTCAGCTGGGTCTGTTACAGGCCGAGGAAATGCAAGCGGGGGAGGGGGAGCTGGTGCATCCTGATACAAGCGCCGTTAAACCCTGAGTAACCTGCTTGCATCCAGCAGAGGCTTGGGAAGTTTGGGTCCGTCAGCACAGCATGTACGTGGCTATTTGGTGTGAAAAAACCCCATCCCAGTTCAAAAGCTCTGGAAACAGCTGCCTCGAAAAGCTGGTAGCATATCTGCCCCTCCCACCTGCAGTGATTGCTCATCAAAGGTGGGCACTAGAGCTTGGTGGGAAAAGATCCAGATGCGCTTCTGCAGAGCTAGGAGTACACGATTAGGTGAGCTGTGAATTTTTTAGTGTAGCAATAGTAACTGGACTTCATGTATCATTGAACTAGAATTATTCAGCAGTTGGATCTGTAGTAGTCAAAAATTTTACGCCCATACACACCCCCATTGCTTCGTGCTCACAAACAGAAGTTTTCAGTACCATTCAAGTCCTGCTTTTTCAGAACATGAAATTGTTAACATGGCAGTGAGAACGGGCAGCCATTTTCATTCTCAAGTTGTTTCAGAAACTGAGGAACAGGGGCTCATTGAATAAAAACTTTAATCAGAATGCCTACAAAATGCTGACAGCTTGGCATTTCCATCTGTAAATGAGAAGCCTGAGCAGGCAGGTTCAGGTTTGTGGCACTTCCCAGACCTTAAGATAAAACATGCCTCTTATTTTACTGACTGCTAAATCAAATAGGAGCTGCTTTGCAGACCATCAATTAGTATTTCTCTAAACTGTCTCCTGCATTCCACTAGTATGATGAAAAAAGTAAACATGACAGGTCAAAGCACTGTTGAGCAATTAGCATGACATTATCTCCAGGTAGAATTCTCAAAACCAGAAATCATTAAAGAATACTTTAATGGCATGTAAATTGGCGGAGGAAATTGATGATTTGGAGGGGGAGAATAGCTAATAGAAAGAGCTGCATAGAGACAATGTGTTTTCTTTTTCACCAGTGTGAACAGTAAGTTGAATGGCTGTATCTAAGTTTCTGTAACGTCAAGAAGCATGTGTTAAAGTAGTTACTGCAGAATAGGAAGCTTTTAAGACAGATGTTTAGTGACTAGTTAAATTCCTAGTGAGTTTCTACAGGAAACAGTTCTACACCAGGAGCAATTCAACATTTTTATGTGTATTTTGGAAATACACATAAGATAGTGTCGATAAAACCTGCACCAAGACAAATATTAGTAGAGTGATAAATAACAATGGAAACAGCAAACTGATACAGGCTCTGTGATAAATGAGCTGCCTTCAGACAAAATGCACGAAGGGTTGTAATGAGTTTGCATGGGGCTGTACTGTCTCACCGAAGACAGTGCTGGAGTCTCAACAGAGCAGCATGAAATTCTGTGATACTACTGGGAAATAATCTCATGTGACTCATGGCTACATACAAGAGGCAATAATGGAAAGATATTTTGTCTGCAGAGGTTAAAGAGACAAGGTATTGAGCCTACATTTAAAGATGTGTAGATATTTCCAGGAACAGGATTAGAAGGGACTTTGCAGATTTCTGAGGTCAGCAGGCTGATAGGGCAGACATGGTTCCATGCATGAGCCTGTGAGACATCATGGATGTGTGCAGGGGAGCCAGCTGATACCAAATCTGAAATCAGTTACCAGAAAAAGGAAATGCAGTGTTTGAAGAACACTTGTATAGGACAGCGAAAGAATTGATGTTATAAATGTGAGAAATAGTCTCGTATATTCTGCAGACCTTGCTTGATTCCTGCCCTGGCAGATGAGTGTAAGGAGTATAATACAGAGGCATTCTGACTTTACAAGTTCTGTTTGCTTTCTGACTTCCAAACTGAGATGTGGTTGAGCATTCCTGTAGTGCAGTTCACAGTAAAACAAGCTTTGCCTGCAGGAGCATTTTTTATTTGTGTTATTAACATGCACTTAATCTTAGTCATTTGTAATTACCAAAAGGCAGTGGACAGAAGCTTTTACTAGAGACAGAAAAAAACCAGGGAAACCTTAAAGCTGTTAAAAGGAGGTGGGAATAAAGAGTGCTCCCTGGAACAAGTGGCTTTTTTTCCAGCAGAGGGGAATCTGCTGCTGCACAGCCTCAGAAAGAATGAGGATCAAACTCAAGACAACCTATTCTCTGCTTGCTGTCTGTTTAGGAAGAGGCGGGGTTGAAGGTTTGGAAGCTGTAAGGAGGCCTTTTGCTGGCTTATTTGATACACATGACCAGAACTGTTCATGTTGAAGAAGGAGGGAAAGACTTGGAGGCAGCAAAATTTGGAGAGGCCTTCACTAAAGGTGGGCTCAAATATCTGCTGTTCAGAGACAACAGACATCGTCAGCTTTGGAGCCCATTTACCTTGATCTGGGTGAGGCCATCACAAGGACTGAACTCAGATATCATACTTCATTATCCTAAATCTGATGTGATTGTTTTAGCCTTAACCCTACCATAGCTGGAATCAGCCCCCTGTCCTCTTCTGTTGTTTGAATGGAGCATTCAGCTATTCAAATCCAGGCCTTTCTCTCCCAGTTCTTTATTATAATGGTCAATCAGGTTCCCAAGAGGACCTGTCATTCCATTTCTCTGTGTCACGTTTTAGTTGGGATTAGCCTTGTTCACAGCCATTTTGTCATCACTTCCAGACTCTCAAAACAGCATTGAAAACCCAGTAGTTTTAGAGGCACCTTGTCTGACCTGATTGTGCAGCCACAGCACCAATATGAGGTTTATTCTTTATGCATGACAGCAGGAGGCGTCACGTTTTCCAGATGTCTCCTTTCTTATGTTATATCCTGGTAACAAATGAGCTAGATAACAAATGACACACCCTGCCGCAGAAAGTCACCTGCCATTCAGCTGGGCTATGTGAGAGGCGGTGAGATTGCAAGATGAGTCAGAGGGATTTCCAGTGGCATTTTCTAGCATATTGTTTACTGCAGGATACCTCCTAATGAGGTCCCTCCTGTGAGCTCTCCTGTGAGCTCTGAGGCCTCTGTTTCCTGAGGATCTGAGGATGCACCCACTCCTCCAAAACAGCCGCAAAGTTTTATTTCCTTAATACTTAAAACATTAACAGCTGCCAGACCAGTGTTACTGTTGCCCATTAAGAAGTCTGGGAGAAGTGGCCAGTGCTGATGGAGGTGTTACTTGTGTGGTCCCATTTCATTCTGGTACTGCTGGAAGCAGTGGGAACAGGAACGTGGGGTCATCCCGTTGAGAGCTAATGGCTTTGCTTTCAGCAGAGGTAATTTTCATCTGTCTCAGTTTCCTGAAACCTCTGCAGAAGGGAAGGGGCCAGTTCAGAGACAAGAGTCTGGCAGGACCCCAGCAGTTCTGACCTTAAGATACCATAGGCTTAACACTCAGATTTCAGCAGCAAACAGTCAATAAGGATCTGGTTTCTTGAGGAGGTCTCGCTGCTGCTTGGAACTTGTGAGCAGCAAGGGAGAGGATGATGCAGTAGAAGATTTCTCAGATACCAGAACATCAGAGAGAGTGCAAACCTACTCTATTTCAAGGTCCTCATGGGAAGAAGAGGATTATAGAAGATATGCATGTGGTTTAGAAGCAGGAAGACTTTTCAAATTCAATTAGTTAATACATAAGAGAGAGAGTTCCCAAAATTTATCCATAAGAGTACATGATGACAATGCTTCTCTTGCTTACAGTTCCAAAGAGAGAGCAGCCACAGAATAGAAAAATGAACTCTTGTTTTGCTGGAAAAAAACCCAAAGGAGTTGCTTCTGGGTCCATTTCCCTGTTTTCTTCAGCTTGATCAAACTACTTGCAAACACAGCAAGTCTCAAACTTTCTAGGATGAAGTATCTAACAAGGCTTGGCAGCACAGACACAGCATTTTCAGCAGCTAAATAAAATGCTTAGCATCTTCTGACATATACCAGAACACTCTGTGTTAAAAGAAAAAAAATTACACAAAGCCATTTCAACTAAACTAGTAAGATTTTCAGGAAGTAACATGGTGCTTGGTGGGGAGGAGACCATACCCCAAACCACAGGATCCTTTAGGAATTCCTCTAAGTAATTAACATTATTGTGGCTGGGCCTCACTGTTGTGCTAAACATGGAAGTACAGTCTGTTCATGAATCTCAGGGCTGACTATGTCGTTCAGAGTTGTAGGGCAGGCCAGACTGTTACTTTGCAAGTCACCTTGGGATTGTCAAGAAAAGACAAGTGTAATGGATACCTAATATTATGGAAGCACAGTAAGCTTATTTTCATTTTTCAGTTCAATGACTGACTTCTTTTATTTCATCACTGTGGCAAGGAGAAAAACCTGTTGTAATAAAGTAGGCATAGCTGTCTTTCATTAAGAAAAATAGTCTTGGTCTGAATGTATGACATACAGGTTGAGC